CTGGTTATGTACCACGGTGTTCTGGCCTTCAGCGTTTACCCAATGTGTATCCTTGAAAACCCATTAAGTCAAAGTATTGTCTCATCAGTGTAAGAGGTATTTCTCCATTTATGAGTGACAATTTTGCATGCTTTTCGTGTTCAGAGACTTCTTCAAGTAGTTGATCAGCATGTGGAACCAAATGAAAGAGATTCACCATTCTCACCTGAACTTTAAGTCCCTATGATTGTTTGCTTCTGAAATCAAATGAAACTGTAATACCACCTTTTGGTACCCCCACATTGTATATTCCCTTTAAGCTTCAGGACCTTCTTAAAAAGGTCTGCAGGTTTTTACAAGTATTTTTCAGAGAAAAGCAGAGATTAATTAACAAATCGATTTATTTTCATCAATTGTCCTCTTCTGAAGAGTAGCCTTCTGATTTTGGCATAGCACCTTTCCTTCTGGGTTCAGTTCAATCAACACTGCAGAAACCCACCTTCCATGATCTAGTGAGAGTCTTGCGGCATCTTTTGGTAGACTCCTGAGATGGCAAACTAGAAGTCCTCAGTAATGGGCTGACTACAGTAGAACCAATTTTTGGTAGACTCCTGGGATGGCAAACCAGAAGTCCTTAGTAATGGGCTGACTACAGTAGAACCAATATTTCCTCTTCACATTTGATACTGGTTGTGGCTGAAGACAGGAAGCAAGGGAACTTTATGGAAGAAACTTAGTAAGATTTCAATTTTTCATATTAATCAACCAGCATGCACTTTAGAATTGCAGTTAATCAAGCCCTCGTATTTTTTAACTGTGAAAAATTCCTAACATTTGTAGATGGGCTGCCTCCAAATGTTGGTGAAGAATTTGTTGTATCAGTAACTAAATGACAGCTTGTATCCAGGGGGAAGCTTTAAGTAGTACTTGAGGCAGCTGACAGTCCTGAGTTCCCAGGTTCCACTTACCTAGCGGAAGGTCAGTTCACAAATGAGGATTTTTCTTTCTGGGGAGAGTTTTATTCAATCTAGAATGGACTGAGATCATTATCATTAGATTCTTTATCTAGGTTATGACTTCTTGAGGAAATACATGGTAAGAAAGAGCAATAGTTCACAGGAATAAATGCTTGTAATAATGTAATGATTTCATTGTTTAAGAAATAATTGATTCCTAGTTCGAAACACTTCTGGTACTGTGTTCTTCCCTTCTGGTCTATGAAAGCACACAGGCAAAATGTGCTATTGCATTAATTTCGGGATTGTATGAAAATCATCTTTATGGCTAGTCCTAGAAATATTCTTAACAGTTAAAAGAAGCATTTCATTGCCTTCTCAAACTGTTAACTAATCTTTCCCAAGAGTTAACTAGAGAAATCCACCTTAATTCCAATTCAAAGAGTGAAATTAGGCCATAAAGACCTTTGTGAGTCTAGTTTAAGACACAGTTACGAAGAAGTTTGCCAGGATACCTCAGATTTAATTGAACCTAAATGCCTCGGTGAAAACTCATATCCTATTTCATGCACTTTCATAAAACTTCATGGCAGATTACACATCACATGAATGCAGGATAGATTAAATTGATACATCCTTTTAACATGCATCACTTGGACATCCTACCACTTCCTTCCTGAAGTGAAAGAAAAAGCCCAGAAATGTGTATCAGTCACACCTCCTTTTCCTTTCAGGCTTTCAGGCAGACATGTATTAGAATGAGTTTTGCATACGAATCAGCTACAGGATCATAGTATGGGTAGCAAAAATTTTTATTGTGCCTGAACTCTTGGCACTCCTGCAGTGTTGAATGGGTTTTTCATTTTCTATGTGAGCATAAAGGCAGAGCTATCTCATCTATCCCAGTTTAATTCCATCTCTGCCGTGGAATCTTGTACATATGGGACTCAGGAGGAGAGGGAGGGAAGGTCGTGGAGATATTTGGGTAGGTAATACATCTTGAAGAATCCAGTTACTGTACAGGTAAGTAATATTTTTTTTTCCTTCCTGAATAATCATCTGTGTAAGCTTCATGAAAGGAGACTGCCACTGTTTATCATTCTGCAATTTTATCAAAATACATGAAGATAAATTTGCCCTCAATGTCACATTCTAATGTATATATGAAGCAACTCAAGTTGCACTCTAGTTCTTGGAAAAAAGGACTGCAGGAAAAAAAATTATAATTGTAGTTATAATTAACAGAAGTTTTTCTCCAGAATTTAATGCTTATCACAATAAAGATAGAATACTTCATGCAACTAAAAAGAGGAAAGCAGCAGCAGCACAGGTTGAAGGTCTGCATAAGCCTGTCATATTTCAGAGTTTAGAGCCAAACAATTGGAAAAACATGCTAGTATGTTAAAAGGCAAATGCTAGTTTGCTTTTATTTACTTTTTCTCTATTAGTATGTTTTGTTTGAAAGAGCAGCTTGTATTTTAAAAAAGAATAATTCAAATGCTAATCAATTAGTCATGATCAAAGAGCTAGAAACAAAATAACTATTCACAAGTCTTGAGACTATTCTGCACTAGTGGAGGTGCTGTCTGGCTAAGCAACAATCTGCTACTCCTACCAGGCATGGGTGTGGGTTTTTGAAGTGGTTATGCACATTGTGACATCTTACAAGAGTAAACTTGCACATCTTTTAAGTAGGTTTGTCTGAGACAGAAAGTGAAAACTTTTATCTGTTCTTACTGGATGGGTTATTGTATTAGACTAAAGTTAAAAGATCATTATTTCTAGGCAGTTGTTTGTAAGTCAGCACTGGATTTTTTTCACTTGCAACCCTCTAGCATATATGTTAAAGTTTGCGTATTGTTTTAGGGAAAGTAGTTATATATGACTGCAGACTTTTCAAGTGCAGGTAATGTGGCACTGTCTTGATCAATTTTGGTACCATCAATTGCTCTTCCTCCCGTACCTCTATTCACCTGTCTGAATAGAGCACTACATGGTGTCACGGTTAATACAGTGTCGAATTCACCTCTTAAATGTTTGCCTTGGATGAAGAGTGGACATATCTTATGTGTTAGAATGTTTTATTTTGCATTCTTATTTTAAAGCAGTTTCCATTTTACATGCAGCTGTTCAAATGAACCATTCCCACTTCTGTTGTTTGAAATGGAGAGATACACTTCCACACTTCCTTAGCTATCCATGAATAATATATCAAGAAGTACAGTCGATATTTACTGTGTAATGCAGATAGGCAAGTAAGTATTTTTCATGTCTGGCACGGTTAATATTCTGTGCTGAGCTTTTTGTAAACTTGTTACTCATCTTTTTGATGAGTCTTCAGCTAGGCTAATCATAACCATAAAGTAGTTTTGGAAGATATTATCAGTGTTTCAGAAAGATTGAGAAAGTATGAAAACATATTCTGCAACTCCTGTTTTTGAAGTGAAGATCTCTCTGTTTGTTGCTTTAGAAATCAGCAATTACTTGCCCTGTGAATCCACTTTGGAAAGTAACCATCAGCAGAAAGCTCTTCTGCCTGTAAAGCCTAACAAATACTGTTGCATGTGCTAGTGGTTGAATACTAGCCTTTCTCTACGCAAGGGCAGTGGTGCCAGAGGTCTTGCACTGGTCTGATACAAAGCTTTGCATCTCTGCTGGAACACTCTCATTGAAAGTGGCAGTTTTGAGACTGCCAGAAATGGTGTTCTTACAACAAGTATCCTTGGTGATGTATCCCAAGTCCTAGAAAGCAGGAATTAAGAAATAAGTCAGGTTCATTCTTTAAACTGCAATGACTAATTTTTGCATTATGAAGGTTGCAAGGTCAAATTTTTTCCAAGTGAGTCATCTTTTTCCATTTTTTGTATGGTGTGAAACACTTTCAGAGAAACAGTGGAAAATTTCAGTCCTAAACACAAAAGGACAGAAGACGAAAGGGTAAATCTGACAAAAAGCAAAATGCAAAAAACAAAGGGAAACATTTTTGATTCTTCCACTGCTGCTGAGATGGCTAAAAAGTCCATGTGGTAACTTAAATGTACATTAATATCGCATCCAAACCCTATGATCTAAACCAATCTGCAAGACAAGAAATGCAGAAATCTTCCATTGAGCTGCTCATTTCTGATGGATTTCTTAAGCAGCCATGGTCTAAGACGTTCATATATACCTGGCAGGACAGCCTGTTTGCAGTCTTTTGCAGTCTTTTGTCCAAGCTGCTACAGCAGGAGCTGGAGATACACGTTTATTTTCCTAGCAACATTAAAGTAAGGAGGGTCTCCTTTACAAATGACAATACCATTAATTTTGTATATAATTTTTCTAAGTTATACTGTTTGTATAAACCAATAAAACAGTATATTTTCTGAGGAGCAATACAGATTTCTTCAATGGTCTTTGAATATAGGTGGGACATCTGCACTTGTAACTGTGAAGATGCTCTTAATCGAAGAATAAATTTTAAGATAGTCTTGATACGTGAATGTCTGAGATTCAGACAGCCCAGATGAACCCTTCATAATTCCTAGAGAGTTTTTGATGAAAAACTTCCTTAAAGACTTAATCCGAACAATGGAAAACTCTGTTGGGTTAATGTTTGCTTTTCTCCCCCTTAGCCTGGAAATGGCAAATTCCAAACTGCAGCGCTATGTTTCCCTTCTTACCACGCCTGCTGGTGAATGCGTGAGCAAATGGGCGATGCTGAATGCCTGCTACCTTCCCACCAATTCTGCCTTCTATGCTTCTTTGGAACTGCTTACTAATCTTTATTTACCAACAACCTTCGCTTATCTATGCTGTATAATCTGACAAGAATGTGGTATATCCAACATGGAGGGCAGGCACTCTTGCTTTGAGGTTCTGCTTTGCTAGCTTTCTCCTTCTCTTTACTGTGGTCTTCCTCCTACTCTTGCATCACTTCATCTTTCTTTTCTTTGTATGAAGATAATTTGCCTGCAGTTGCGCCTTGGGAGGGAGAAACACATTTTGGTTGGCGTAAAACTTGGTTGATTAAAAGGCTGTAGTTCCAAACAAGTCGTCTTCACCTAGTCTCCCGTCATTTTCCAGGACAATCTACGTAAAAAGGATGATCGGATTGAAGAATTGGAAGAGGCACTCAGAGAAAGTGTTCAGATAACTGCAGAGCGGGAAATGGTGCTAGCACAAGAGGAGTCAGCCAGGATCAATGCTGAGAAACAGGTCTGCAATCTTATAAAGTCACTGGTAGTCCTCTTAGGAAAGTAACCAGACAGTAAAGTACTATTTTCCCTGCTTTACTGTGAAACACAGCTGGTTTTGTTTGATGATCCTGTATCTCTGTTCTAACATTAGGTAACAGAACTCATAAAGTCTGCAAAGCCTTCATGATAAGTTGTATTTCATAGGTAAGATTTTATTGAAATTAAAAAGAAATATAAGGTATCCTGAGCTTTAAAATATTATTTTAAGTAGTAACTCTTCTGATCTGTCTTGCCTGTCAAAGCTATCTTGCTATGTGTAAGCATACTTCAGTTCACTGTGTTGTTCATTGAATGTATTTAAAAACAATGATTTTTATTAGCATAGTTGTGTTTATGGCCCACAGTCTCGTTGCACTTGCAAAACAACTGGATAAAGAGACAAATCCCTTGGCTTGGGCCAAGCATACACACAGAAAATACACATTTGTGTGTTAAAGCCACAAGTGTGAAGTTTTATGCATGAATTGATTCTGTGCCACTGACGAGATACTCTTCAGTCATGTATGTGCCTGATTTTAACTCACGTAAGTAATCATCAAGAAAACACACCATAAGTAGTGAATAAAATTGCATGAGATTTTGATAAAGCTTTTGAAGCAGAAGCTGAATCTGGCATTCTTATTGTGCTTTTTGTGAGCCTCTTCAGTGTTTTTTCACTGTTCCTTACTTGACCGTAATTAGCAAACAGGAGCATTTGGTCAGTTGCATTGCAATGGCATGATCTCTTTCTCTTTGTTGTTTAAATAAAAAAAGTTCTGACTAACTGCACTTCAAAACGTTTTAAGAGGTTTTTTCCAACATATATTCTTATATCACATACTTTAACTAAAAAGAAGATATAAATATCTTAGTAGTAATACAAGTTTTCAGGAAGAAAGCAACTGTTTCTCTTTAGGCTAAAGTCAAGCTCAGCTGTTTGCTGATAGACATATTGAGGATAATTCTGGTTGCTGTACCCTAAGATCCTAGGCAATGTTATGGAGTTCACTTTCAAGAATGCCTTCTTTCCAAACTTCTTGTAGTCTTGAAAAAAAATTGCATGAAATAGGAGTGTTAACTAGGTAGTGAATACCACATCAAGAATTAGATCTTCTTGAAAGGAAAATATATATCTCAAAAAGGAGCAGGTTCTATGCTGAGATGCAAAAGTAAACAAAACAGTGTGTGATTTGATGCCTAGGATGTCATAATGTTTTAATTTCTTTGTTGCAAGACAAAGTGACCATTTTTATATTCTTTGAGCACCTAGAAGCCCATAGAACTCACCGTTTTGTGATGTCTGTGCTCGAAACGCAGAACAAGATGTATAAGGTTTAGAGAATTTTTTGAGGCAATGTTCTGAAGAAGGTAGAGTGTGTTAATTTTGTAGGGGTTAGAAGTATCTGAAGTTGGGGAAGTAAGGACAAAGATGAACATTTACCAATTTTATGCGCGCACAATGTAGGCTTGTATTAGAGGATGATCACAGGTCATCTCAGTATTGAAAGTGAAAGGTGGGTGGAGTACAGTTTGCAAAGGATGAGTAGGTTACATTTGATTCACTAGCAAAGAGGCATGCTAGTAGCGTAAACACGATCAAAGCTACAGACAAGGAGATTACTGCGGAAATGGGCACAATCTTCACAAGAGAGATTTTTGCATAGATCCAGACACATAGATGTAGTCAGGAAAGTCTTAGAGATACTCCATAAAAGAAATTCTGCAAGTTTTTAAAAATAACCTTTTAAAGGAGGTTTGAGTCAAAGATACTATCAAGATTAACAAAAATATGAAAGTTCTGTCCTATATGAAAAGAAATGAAGTAGTGAAGAAGATTTCAGTCACAGGATGGAAAGGAGGATGCCTTTTTAGCCTATTCAGCATGAGCTCCCCATAGATGTCAGTCTACTGTGAGCTGTTGGCAACAGGTTTATTCTGGAGAGGAGAAAGATAAGTCTGGGTTAGTAAAATCGGGAACTGTTGTCATGTAAGTAAAGTTTTATTTATATACGAGGAATCCTAAAACAAGGATATCGAAAGAGAATAGTGCTTTGGGAATATGCACAAATTTCAGGTTTGGCAGTAAGCAGGCTTTTCAAAAGAATTCACCAGCAAAGCCTGATGAGAGGCACACAATGAGATCAGATGGTCAGAGCTTGGTGAAAAAGGGAAATAGCTGGTGAATAGAGAGCTGGAACTGGGTGTGCAATCTGAAAGATGAGCAAGGCAGGGGAATGTGCAGCCTGAGGGTCAATAAGCCATAAGGATCAGTGAGAGAGACTGAGAGGAGAGGAAGAGAGGCAAGAGGAGTAAGATTTGTGGGAAAATATTGGTGGAATATGGTGGGCAACAGCATTGTGAAAAAGAAATTAATCTGGATGTAGTAGTTTGTGCAGAAGTGAGGAGTAGAAAGAAGGATGGGTTGAAAGCAGCAGGATCGGAAAAGGGAAAAGTCAGCGTCTATACCGTCACTGATTGACAGCAGTGTCTTACTCCAACAGAAGAACTAAACTGCCAGCTCTGACCAATTATAGTTTTTAAAATATGACCAACAGGACGGCACAAAGGAAAAGAAACTGGATTGTCTTGTTCCAGTCAGCACTGGGAGAGCTGCTGTGCCCCATATTGTCCAATAGGATTTTGTTTTGGTGTCAGTTAAATACAGTCGAGTAATAGAGTGATGGCAAGTAGCTGTTTTTCCAAGGTGAGGAGGAGACTTTTCTTCAAACGTTTTTCATTTCATATTCCTTCAATTACTTTAAAAGAATGCCCTCTTTGTTCTATTATGTTCTGTGGAGGTTCTTTATAGAATTGGGAAAGACACCCTTAGATAGCTTTGGAGTTCTAAAATGCAAGGCTCTGTTTTCTATACAATATTAATGGCAAATCCTTTGATTTTTACAAACAATAATAGGTTAGGATCATTCTTCGACCAAGTATGAATGATATGTGTGATTTTAAAATGTTAATGTTGTCCAAACTGATTATAATCTGCTTTTAATTGCACGCTTTTTCTTTCCTCTCTTCTTTTATCTTGTTTTCTACCATTCTGCCACTTCACTGCCTGTCTGAAGCTGTTTAATGAATCAGTGCATGAGGTCAACCATGTTGGCTTTAAGTGGTTCAAGGTATGAGGACATCTCATGTGTGTGTACCTCTGCCCCAATATTTAATGTTGTTTTCGTAGCCCTGTGTTGTGTAATCCTACCCTCCATTATCTCATGATGTATGATTTCCTGCTATTTTACAGGCTTCAGGTTTGAATTACAGTGTCCATGAAGCTACTCAGGATTTCATGTTTCTCAGATAACCATTTCAGATTAAAATCTTGCTGTCTTTAATCGAGTGTTTGAAAATATCCTGGCAGTGTGTATTAACTGTGGCAGTGGGTTAACTGTGTTAATATGCCATCTATATATGGTAAGATGTCTCCAGCTGACTAAAGCTTTCTGTTTATTTCAGGATCTTAGACTTGTTCTTTCTTTCATCTATCACAAAAATAAAATCAGGCATTTCCTGCTGGGAGCAATGCACCCATTGCATTGGGCGTAGTTTTATTAACCTTATTGTTCTCTATAACAGAAACGCTGCCATACAGAAAGCAGATGAGGGAGTCTTACACGATACAAAGACTTGGAAGTTCTTCAAGTTCTTTCTTTCTAACATATTCACCTGGTTTTGTTCGTGCACTTGCTGAATCCTGTATGTAAATATTACTGTAAATTCCTTACAGCTGTGGGGTTAAGTGCTACTGCAGCTGATCCCACTAGACTGAAGGTCAGAAGGTGTATGGAGACTTCTTTTTAAGTACTCTCCATAAGGCTGAAGGTACGATTTCTCGGATAAACACTTCTATAATAAAAGTCTTTCTATTAGAGATGGCAAAAACAAATGTAGATCCAGGCACTTTTTCTGAATTAACCAAATCTGAGTTTACTTCACTAAAGCTATTGTTATGTTCCTCAGGAAAAAAAAAAAAAAGAATTAAATTTAAGTTTTTCTCTGCTCAAAAATACAGTGGTAGTTTTACTTCCCTAGGAGAAACTGCTGGAGATCTTCTTTGACAAAAGGCCCTGTTTTGGTCACAAACTTTCTTTCACTGTTCTAGTGCATCTTACCATCTCTCCTCCTGCAGCAGGAGGCACGAGGTTCTCTTATATATCAACTTAGTCATAATCAGCACCATTCCCAGAACAATGCTGGAAACATGTTTCGATCTTCATGGAAGAATAAGGCCCTTTTTGTGGAACAAAGTGAAACAGAAGTTCAGATTCTGTGATTCAGTGTCAATCAATAATAAGTAATGTCAGGTCCTTGGCTCAAGGAGCCCAATATAAGAATTACTTGCATTTTGAGCCTTGATTATTGGAGGGCATAGTTCACAAATGTGTACTGACCTAAGATGCTTATGCCCTCCCTCTCTTCGCTCACTTTCATCCCCTTACTTCACTGCACATCCCTTCAATTTTCCCAGCCTGGGTCTTTCTGGGGCCATGCTGAAAAATGGAGCAGTGACCTAATTCATGATAATAATTGTCTTATTTTTGAAGGAATTTTTTCATGTGGACCAATTTGCTGATCTGGTTCATGGATCCCCACACAGAACTCGAGGCACATCTGAGGAAGCATTAAACTGTGGGGGCAGGACTGAGAAGTGGAGGCAGGAATTGCTTAGTGTTATTACTAAGCAATATTACTAAAAATATTTTTACCAGAAGCTGTTATTGTGGCCCTTACAATACGCTGCTATTTCTATGAGTGAGATCGTGCACTGCCTGACCACAACATATGTTTCTCTATCTTATTTCCTTCAAATTTGAAAAGCAGTAGGTTTTACAATTTTAAATTGTATTTCTGCTGATAGTAGTGCAGCTCTGTTCTCTCATGAATATCAACTCCTGCTAAAATGCACTCCCTATATAGTATCAGCTAACATCTAACTCCTTACCCTAAAATGTTATGGCCAATAAAAGCATGAAA